TACAATCACAACCCACCAGTTATACGTTGAAAATCCTAACAATATCATTCTATACCATCAGAAAACCTGCACAAATTATTAGACTCCCTCTTTTACTCCCTCCACCACCATCCCATAGACAGAGTGTCTCTCTTCCCTGTAAATCCTCTCTCTCTCTCTCTCAATAATTTGCTTCTGCGTTGATTTTTTTTATATGTTTTTTTAAACCAAGGAAAAAAAAATTCTATATAAAATTGTGAGTTTTCACTTTTCTCTGTGAGTTCCTCTACTTCTTGAGTTTTTAGATTTATATTGGTGCGCATGTATATATATTATATTCATTTACAGTAATGTCTAAAATAGTTATCAATATTGTTTTAAATGCTATTATTTTGGTCTTTTCTATCAAGGTTTTGGGAGGGTTTTCCAATAGGCCTATGTTCTTTTTCTTTTTCTTTTTTTATATCATTTAAACACTTGAGCTTCGAGGAGAAGCATTTTAGTCACCCCCACAATCTAACCCTCCTCAAACTCCCAAAAATGGTAAAAATCGGAATTGATTGCTCTGGTTGTAACTTCCCAATCTCAGGTGTGGTTTTCGTGTGCTGGCAATGAAATTTCTTCCACCGGGAACAATGCTTTCTAGCGAGTCACTCCATGAAACAACCATCCCACCCTCTTCATCCTGTAACCCTAGTCCCATATCCCACTTACGTCTCCGGTTCCTTCACCTGCGATTCCTGCGGTCAATCTGGATTTGGGTTGAGTAACTTTTTAATATACAGGTTTGAGTAAAAAGCTTGAGTTGATATATGGATTATCCAATCCGTTAAAATCACATCAGTTCGCATCAATCTACACTGCTCTATCCGCTAACCGCAGATTAAACTTTAAAATTTATAATTTGCATTCCAAACCGTTTGCTCCACTACGGTAAGGACTAGTTTGGCATGTCTTAAATAAGATAAAAAGTCAAAAATTTACTAAAAAAAAGTTAAAAAATTATCACTATTCACAAATATATATATATATATATATATAAAAAATCATGACAGTACTGTTACACAGGACAATGTGCAGTGATGGTACACTGTCAACTGATGCTACAAATTTTACCCGGCGGTGCACAAAAAAGTTGCACAGGACAGTTTTGTTCGGCTCGTGGGGGCCATCACGAGTCCTGTTTTGATAATCTGAACCATTCAATGTGTAGATCTCATTGGATACTCTATGCCTATAAAAAATCATATTGAGTTCTACACATCGAACCATTTCGATTATCAAAACGAGACCAGTGATGGGGCCTCACGGGCCAAACAGCACCGTCCAATCCAATCTTAGACTGTAGGCAATCTGCCCCTATAATGTTTGCTGCCAACCGATTGGCATGCAATACAATCCAAGTTAGTAGGTATTTACATATAGTAGGAGTAAAATGGTAATTTTTTTATTTTATACAATATTTTAATATACATTTTTTCGTAAAAAATCAAGAAGTTATCCCAAATAGTCATCTTTTTTCTCTCTACTTTTTAGTTCAAAAAGTAAAAAAATACACTTATTTAGGACATTTCAAACAACCCCTAAATACCTATATATTTTTTAGTAGAGTTTAAAATGACGGATTCGAGCTCGAAACCCTAAAAACCCCAACCCGTTGCCCTTTCCTGTCATCACATTGTTACATAATGAAGATTACTGCAGCTAAGATAGGAGCTTATTGGAGTTGAGTTGAGAATTAGACAATTATTAGTAGTTAAGCTTGTTACATAAATTGTAAGCAATGGAAGATAGTTACATAACTAGATCCTTCTTCGTCTTCATATTACCATACGCATCACATCTGTGCACATTCCCTGATTCTGATCTTCTTGTGGGTTATGTACAGGAAAAAATGACCGAGAAAGTATCCAACAAAAGAAGAAAGCTAGTTATTGGCTCCACATCATTGGAAGACTCACTGGCAGTAGAAGTAGTTGTCAACAATGTTGATCTTCTAACAGAGATTCTTTTACATGTGCTGGCAAAGTCACTCCTCAGATTCAAGTGTGTATCTATGCATTGGCTCTCTCTCATCTCTGACTCACAATTTTCCCACAACCACACCCACCGAAATAACAATTCCTTGATCTCAGGCATATATTTCTACTGCAAACTTTGGATGTTCAAGGAACTTAATTCTGTCTCGTTTCACAGCCACTCAAGTCTTCCAACACTCGCCTTCCTCAATGGTGTTGGAGAAGGATCTATACCTAGGATTGTATGCTCCTGTAACGGCTTACTCTTTTGCTCCAAGGTTTACAGAAAACGTTACATCGTTTGTAATCCGACCACCCAAAAATACACTGCACTACCTGAACCTGCCGGCACTTTATCTAGATTTTTAGATCACAAGTTTGGTGCTCACTTGGCTTTTGACCCTTCAAAATCACCTCACTACAAGGTTGTATTGGTTCATTACTCTTTTGATCTTCGTGGAAGGTCTGGAAGTTCTTATGTAATTGATATCTACTCATCGGAGAGTGCATCTTGGAAACACATTCGTGTCATTGCACCACCAGGTCACTCCTTGAGATGCAGGGTGTTTTCGAATGGAGCTATTCATTGGATGACTTCCACTAACCTTTACATTCGATTTGACGTTGATGCTAAGAATCTGGCACGAACTCCAATGCCTCCATACCCTAAAATTCTTTCTAATGATAATATTCTGCATTTTGGTGAATGTCATGGTCATTTGTTTCTTATTCAGAATCAACAGGTTTTGCCATTGAGATTCAGAATTCTTAAGATGGACAAGGACTACTGCTACTGGAAAGTGAAGTACTGGATCAATCTGAGACCTGTAGAATCTATTTTCCCTGAGAAATTTCACCAATTTTCTGTGGTGTGTATTGTGAAGGGAGCAAATGAAAAAGATTTTGCACTGGTGTTTAATATTTATGGCAATTTCATTTCTTATAATTTGGATCGCAAGACATGGAAGGTGCTTCTTGATTTTCAGCCAGGTGAATTTCATGAATCAGTTTGTTATTATTTTTGATCGGCAAAACGAAAAAACTTTATTGATGAAAACTGAACAGAGTAATGAGGAAACATCAATAAAGAGGAGCTTGGAGCTAAGCGAAGCTCCAACCTCCTAGTTGGTGAGAAACCAACAGAAGAAGAAGACAAAGAAAAAAAACAACACAGCAGAAACAGGCAAAACAGAACAAAACCTGACAAACAAGCTGTCCAAGAGCATAACAGCAAACTGAAGGTCAGCTCAAAAACCAGATAACTCCAACCCTCAAACCAACAGCAGAACAGCATAGATAGAGGATTCCTTCAGAATGTTTAAATTGTAGCATATACCATTTGGAGGATTGCACCACAGCCATACTCTAACCAGCTCAACACACACAAACCGGCCTCCACTCAGCTCCTTGCTGAAAACCAGAACAAACCTTGCTATTGACCTCCACTCTGCTCCTGGTTCAAAACAGAACATACCAGACTGCAGAACATCCCACACCCCAGCAAAACCAGAATCTGAGTGCAGCACAAAACATCCCAAAGCCCAGCAATCCCCAGCAACACAAAACCACCCAAACCCCAGCACCTCAGCAGATCAAACAAACCAAACTACAGCCCTACAAACGCACAAAACCTACAAACCTGGACCTCATTTAGACTTTAATTCTGTCCAGATTATAAACAATGTCTTCCACAGAATACTGCAAACCTCCATAGCTATGCTTGCATCACAAAGCTATCCTGACTTTCATCAACTCAGCCAAATCAAACCCATCAACACTCTTTTGTGGAAAAAGACAATCATTCCTAGCTTTCCAAATTGAAAAAGACAATCATGCCTTTTCGAAGTCTAACTTTAATATGATGCCTCTCATTTTTGCAGTTTTCCACCAATGTACTACTTCATTTGCTATCAGAACACCATCAAGAATAGATCTGCCACCCAAAAAAGCTGTTTGAACTTCACTAATGATTCGTGGCAACACTCTTTTCAACCTTTTTTATAGCACTTTAGCAAGAATTTTGTAAACTAAGTTAACAAGACTAATGGGCCTATAATCACTTAACTCACAAGGATCCACGCGTTTAGGTATGAGGGTGATGAAAGAGCTGTTAAGGCCTGAGACAATCTTCCCATTAGAGTGAAACTCATCCATGAAGTGTAAAACTTCACCCTTCATTATCTGCCATCATTTCTGGATACAGGCCAAACTGAAACCATCCAGACCCGGGGCCTTGTTACCATCACAATCTTTAACCGCATCCCAAATTTCCTGCTCTGAAAATACTGCTTCTAAGGTTTCTACCTACCCAGCAGAAGAAATGGATGCAAAGGGGCCAAGAAGCTTAGGCCTAGAGCTCCAAGACTCAGAGAATAATTTCATGAAATGCCTATGAACAACTATCTTCATTAAGCTAGGTTCCACCACCCTAACCCCATCTTCCACAACCGAATCAAGGAGGTTTCTACTTTGCCTAGAGCTAGCCATCATATGGAAAAACCTTGTATTCTTGTCCCCACACTTAGTCCACAGCATTCTAAATTTTTGATGCCACAAACTCTCCTTCCTTCTATGCAAATTCCAAACTAGCCCTCTGACTTCTCTCCTTGAATTTGCTTCTGTTTCTGACAATGCTCTTTCTTCAGCCACCAAATCCAAAATGCGTAAATCCTCTTCCGCATTCTTAAGTTCTATTTCCACATGACCAAACACCTCTACATTCCATCTTCGAAGACTGACTTTGAGTGAGGCAAGCTTTCTCATCAATCTAAACCCCGCCCAACCCGGTTGAACTTGTACCTCCCATGAGCTCTTCACTACTAATATGAAATTAGGATGAAGTAACCAAGCATTAATAAATTTGAAAGGTTTTGGGCCCCAATTTCTCTCATCCTCCTTTATTATGACAAGACAGTGATCAGAAATTGTTCTAGGCAGTCCCCACTGGTTGAAGGAGAACTACTCAAGCCACCTACTCTCCAGAAGGAACCTATCTATCCGACTTCATCTCTTCCCATCTTGTGCATTACACCACGTGAATCTTCTTCCCTTCATTGGCAAATCAACAAGGTTCAACTGATCAATCAGCTCATTAAAATCATTCATACCTCTATCCCTCCGGGAGCACCCCTTCCTTTCACCGAGGAATCTAATCTCATTAAAATCTCCACCCATACACCAAGGATTCGGGTATGAGATTTTCAGATTCTTTAAAGATTTCCACAATTGTCTTCTTTTGCCAACATCGTTGGAAGCATAGACATTCACCACAAAGCATTCAAAGGACTGACCACTGATACCTGATAAAATAATAAAATTTCTGGAGCCACAACAATCAACAACCTTGAATCTAGCAGGATGCCAGATGCACAGTAGACCTCCAGCCCTGCCATCAGCATCTACTCCCATATAATCCATTTTATCAAAAGGCCAAATAGATTTAATGAGAGTTACCTCCAAAGTTCTTCTCCTGGTTTCTTGAATTAACACCACATCCACCCCTCTTTCTTTTAACATGTTCCTAATTTTACTCATTTTCTCTGGCCTACTTAAACCACGCACATTCCAAGACATTATCTTCATAAGACAGACTTCAAAACACCTAAACTCCTCCATTAGATAATCAGACTTTATCTGCCCGAACCCCATCTGTAATCCTCTCCAAATCTCGGGTTTCCAACTATACAATCTGTTTTGCCACGTTATCCTCCTTTCCACCAAAATCAATGCCTAACTTTTTTCCAAGTTGTATTGTTGCTTTAGCCTCCTTCATCAGCTTGCCCTTTCTTCTGCTTGATTCACTGAAAGCCGAGTGTGAGCTAGAAATTGTAGCAACAGTTGCTCTGAAAATGGCACCCCTATTGAAGCTTTGAGGTAGAATTCTACCTTTCTGAAGAGCCTTACCACCCCTTTTTGCTACACCACTCCTCCTTCCAGCGACCTGGCCTTTACCGATAGGAGCAATTTCCCCCCTAACCTGACCTGAACTGCCCTCACCAATCTGCATACATACTTGGGCTCTCTCGGCAAGGAGCTGTGAACTGGCCACACAGTCACTCAAATTAGATAAAGTAAGCCCAACTGGCCTAATAAGGCAATCTCCACCTTGGGCTCAAGGAATCACTACTTCCAAATTAAAATTGGGCCTCATAAGTTCAGGCCCACTTAGGCTCTTCAAACACCCATCTATATGATTGCTGCCAACTAAAAATTGGGGCTGCACAGCCACCTTTTTTGAAACTTCGCCTACACTCTTCAAAACATCATCATGACTATTGCCCACATTTTTTGAATTTTCCAAGCCAGCTCCTAACATCCCTACCATGGGCTGAACCACCCCTCCTGACCCTTTCTTCCATAACGTGTGTAGTCCCCTCAACTGTGTCTTGCACTACACTTACCACATCATTAGAAGCTGCCTCATCAGGCCTACTACCACCTTCTATGCCTACCACCACCCTTCCATCTTTGGCGCCGGAATTCATGGCACTCTGACTGCCGGAGCTTGAGAGTAAACCCTCAGAACTCTGATGCCTGCACTCCCCAGGTCTTAGTCTTGCCGATAAAAATGACTCTTCAATCACCCTTACTGGGTGCTGCTGCCCGTTGCAATTTAAAAGGATCACTTGATTAATAAACTCACAACTACTAGTAATAATCCTCACTTTACCACACACAAAAGACTTCGGAAAACTCATGGCTTCATCCTGTTGAACAACTTCTCCCCAGATGTTACCCACCGCCTTGAAGGTGCCAACATTCCAGAGATTAAAAGGAATGCCATGACAAACCAGCCACACACACCTTTCTTGTTGAATAACCTTGCCCCTCTCCCATTCGTCCATTGAATCACACCACTCATAAATCCAATCCTCTAATCTACCCTTCTACTCCGTCAGATGTTCCACTAACTGAAAAGATAGAAGAGCTATCCGACCACCACCATCCTTTATGCATACCTCCTTTAGACCTCGTTTACTGCACTCTTCTTTGAAAGCATTAAAGGAGAACAAGGATTTTAGCTTAATTACTAAACTTTCATAAAGCCATCCATTTCCAACTTCCTGTACATTTATGGTTTTCACAGTATTCTCCTTTCGTATACCTTGGACTACATCAGCAAAAGATCTCTGACCATTGTACCCTGATGTAATTTTACCGTGCTTCCATTGCCCCGTCTGTGCACTCTTCCCTTTTCTAGCCTCATCCTTCTTTGGATACTGAGCATTGCTTCCAAACTCTGCCAATCTCACTTTCAAACTCTTATCATCGCACCATATTCCATCCGCTTTCTGGACTGCTACCCTTGCTGCTGTAGAGCAGTCATACCGAACAAAACCAAATCTTGAACCAGTAGCTTTCCTCCTTTTATTTGGGATGAATACGTCCTTTACCACACCATAGCTACTAAACAGATTAAAAAGACTTCGTGACGCCATAGATTCCGGCAGATTGTCGACAAAAATCGTGATGAAGCCTACACCCCTGTAGTGAATCTGCTGATATCTTGGCCTTCTTTTCTGGGTCACCGGTGTCCACCCTCCTCTCTCCATTATGCTACTAGTTATAATTAGTTTGTTATTATAATAGCTATAACTTCATTGAAAGTCTATCCCTTGTTTGAGCTAGCATGTTGTTCTGTATGTTGGAGCAGTCGCTACTTTTTGTAAAACCTGTCATATAATCTTTCAATGAGAATCAGCTTCCTAGTGTTAAAAATGTTGAATATTTTGCCATCTCAAATTTGGTAGTCATCAGTGCTTGTTCTAGATATTGTTGTGGTATCTTTTGCTATCTGCATTTCTTCATCATTTTCCTTGCCTGCTCTATTGAGCATTCTGTAATTCTCCCTTATGTTGCACTTTATGTGGGCCATGTTTTGACAACCGAACTCTAGTATACCTTTCATTGAAGTTTCACTCATTTGCTTCATGGTTTTGATCTCTGAGAATGCTTGTCCAGTTGGGTGGAATGGTTTCTAATGCTAGGGACAAAAATATTTTTTAAAAAAAGAAACTGAAAAGGCCATAGTGTTGTTGCAGAATCCCAAAATGGTAGCCAGTTTGATAATCTACAATGGTGCTTCGGGGGTTTGCAAATATAGGACAGTTTGGAAAATTTTCATTTGCCTCTCTTCTTTGTGCTGTTAGTTTAGGCAATAGTAGAGTATATAGCTTGACAAACTTTAAGAGTTCCGTTAAGAGCTAAAAATATTTTATAATGAAAAAACATTTTCTATAGAATACATTTTTTGAAAAATGTAAAAAACGTTTTTCCATGTTTGGTTTTGTTCTTTAAACTAATATGCTAATAGATGTGTTAGTGGTGGCGGCAGGGTGGAGGTGTTGGGGTGGTAGTGGTGGTGGAGGTAGCGGCAATGGAAATGGTGATGGTGATGGTAGTGGAGGTGGTGGAAACGTAGTTGGGTTGTAGTAGTGGTGTGGTAGTGGTGATAAAATATGTTTTGGTGATCTTTTCTTGGAGGTACTGTGTTATTAGGTAAAGTAGTTCTGTATACTTACGGTGAAATGTGAACCTAATGTTGTTGAATTTAATCCTCAGGCAATACAATTACATTTTTTATTTGAACTGAATGATATGTGGTGTGTATTCTTGGAATTATTAATTATAACATCAAAAAGGAAGTAGTTTCGTACTCTAAAGTAATACAGTGAATTGCAAGGAGCAGAACTTGTTAAAGGTATTGGTTTCACAAAAAAGAATAATATTTTAGGCTTTAGCTAATTAAAATTTTTGTTAAAAGCATTCAATCCAAACAAACCCATCGATAAAAAATGCCCACAAATATCAATGTTAAATCACAATTAATAAAAAAAAAAAAATACAACCACCCAAATATAAGTTAATCGGGAAATAAGTGAAACAGTATGAACACAGGCAATTCTTTTCACCAACAATCCTTGAAACACATGGGAGTGTTCTACCAAATAGAACAGATGGGGGGTGTATTATGCCTCTAATGAAAGCTTCTGCTTAAGCATACCTTTGAATCTGCTTATTCACCACGAAAGTCTACTTTTAATGCACCAAATCTAAAAAGTGAAATGCACCAACTACTAATGTCTAACAGAATATCAATGCAGACCCCAAAAAAATAAAAAAACACTACTTATAGATGGCGAAAGCTCCAATGCTATCATGATATAAATCCTGGCCTAGCAAGGCCAGCTTCGACATGGGCTCTGGGAATCACTACTTCCAAATTAAAATTGGGCCTTATAATTTCAGGCCCACTAATGCTCATCAAAAACCCATCCGTGTGATTGCTTCCGACTAGAAATTGAGGCTGCCCTATCACCTCTTTTGAAACTTCGCCTACACACTTCAGAGCATCATCATGACTTCCGTCCCCTTTTTTTGAATTTTCCATGCCAGCTCCTGACACCCCTACCCTGGGTCGAAACACCCTCCTATCCCTTTCTTCCATACAGTGCGCAGTCCCCTCAACTGTGTCATGCACTATACTTACCACCTCATTAGGAGCTGCCTCATCAGACCTACTACCACCTTCCATGCCTACCTTCACCCTATCCTCTTTATCACCGGAATTCATGGCACTCTGACTGCCGGAACTGGAAGGTAAACCCCCAGGAGGCTGATACCTGCATTCCCCCGATCTTAGACTATCCGGAAAAAATGACTCTTCAATCACTCTTACTGGGTGTTGCTGCCCGTTGCAATTTAGCATGATCACTTGATTAATGAACTCACTCCTACGAGTTATGATCCTCACTTTGCCGCTCGCTAATGACTCCAAAGAACTCGTGGCTTCATCCAGTTGAACAACTTCTCCCCAGATGTTACCCACCGCCTTGAAGGTGCCAACATTCCAGAGATTAAAAGGAATGCCATGACAAACCAGCCACACACACCTTTCTTGTTGAATAACCTTGCCCCTCTCTTCCGCATTCTTAAGTTCTGTTTCCACATGACCAAACACCTCTACATTCCATCTTCGAAGACTGACTTTGAGTGAGGCAAGCTTTCTCATCAATCTAAACCCCGCCCAACCCGGTTGAACTTGTACCTCCCATGAGCTCTTCACTACTGATATGAAATTAGGATGAAGTAACCAAGCATTAATAAATTTGAAAGGTTTTGGGCCCCAATTTCTCTCATCCTCCTTTATTATGACAAGACAGTTATCAGAAATTGTTCTAGGCAGTCCCCACTGCTTGAAGGAGAACTGCTCAAGCCACCTACTCTCCAGAAGGAACCTATCTATCCGACTCCATCTCTTCCCATCTTGTGCATTACACCACGTGAATCTTCTTCCCTTCATTGGCAAATCAACAAGGTTCAACTGATCAATCAGCTCATTAAAATTATTCATACCTCTATCCCTCCGGGAGCACCCCTTCCTTTCACCGAGGAATCTAATCTCATTAAAATCTCCACCCATACACCAAGGATTCGGGTATGAGATTTTCAGATTCTTTAAAGATTCCCACAATTGTCTTCTTTTGCCAACATCGTTGGGAGCATAGACATTCACCACAGAGCATTCAAAGGGCTGACCACTGATACCTAATAAAATAATAAAATTTCTGGAGCCACAACAATCAACAACCTTGAATCTAGCAGGATGCCAGATGCACAGTAGACCTCCAGCCCTGCCATCAACATCT